CCACTTTAAATGAAACAAGTAAGAGTGTTATATTCGGCTGTGCCGAATCTTGTATACCCACCATCACATCATTGCCAAAAAGGAATGCTTCCTTATAAATAAACGTTGATATTTAGGAATCGATGCTAGCCTATAGTTTAGGCTAGTAATGAGCGTTAAAGCCATTTTCTGAAGGGGACCTTATATGGGGGTAGGATCAATTATGGACCGGTCGTTAAAAAATTTTACAAAGCGACTTAGGTTTCTATAGAATATGTTCATGTCGAATTTCATCGCTATAGATGCTTCTTTTAGACAGTTAAGAGCCTTAAAGCCATTTTCTGAAGGGGACCTTATATGTTCATGTCAAATTTCATAGCTATAGATGCTTCTTTTAGACAGTTATGAGTGTTAAGGTCATTTTCTGTAGGGGATAGAGTCAATTATGGACAGATCCTTATAAAATTTTACAATGATACAAAAAAAATGTTTTTGTCGGATTTCATCCCTATAGCTGCTTCTTTTAGTCAATTATGAGCATTAATGTCATTTTCTGAGAGGGACCTTATATGGAGGATAGGGTCAATTATGGACCGATCCTTATAAAATTTTACAATGATATTGAGGTTCCTATAAAATATGTTAAAGTCATTTTCTGAAGGGGACCTTACATGGGGGGTTGGATCAATTATGGACCGATCCTTGTAAAATTTTACAAAGATATTAAGGTTCCTATAAAATATGTTTATGTCGAATTTCATCGTTATAGCTGCTTCTTTTAGTCAGTTATGAGCGTTAAAGTCATTTTCTGAAGGGGACCTAATATGGGGGCTAGGCGAAATCGTGGACCGATATTGCCCATTTCAATACCAAACAAACTGCATAAATAAGAAATAATTGTACAAAATTTCAGCTCACTAGCTGTTTGCGTTTGGACTCTATCGTGTTTTAAACAGACGGACAGACAGACGGACAGACGGATGGACATAGCTAGATCGTCTTAGAATTTAATAAGGATCCATAATATATATACTTTTATGGGTCTTAGATGAATATTTCGATGTATTACAAACGGAATGACAAAAACAATACACCCCCATCTTTTTTGATGGTGGGTATAAAAATGAAGATGAAGTTTTTTGATTTTATATGAACACAATTTGTGTTCTTTATGACAAGAGCTACTACTTTGCCTCAGAGAGTAAATCAAAATGCCGAACAGATTCCAAGATATGAGCCTGAGAAAATGATCACTTTTTTGCATATTTAATTCAAGATCAAAATCGCAATTCAAGTGCTTCTCTAAATTATGAGTATACTTAATATTTGTAATATGAATAAATCATTAACACGTATACGTACAGGTGCCGTTAATAAAAGCAGTGTAATTTCACTATGTAAAACTTTCCATTTGAAATGAAAAAATTAAGATGCAAGTTTGCAAGATATGAGCCTGAGAAAATGATCATTTTTATGCAAAAATTACAACGAGGTCCCGAATCTTTGGGGCCATAAAAAAGTGCATGACTTTGGGCAAAACTGGGAGTCACTGGTCTTTTTTCGTATAGATATAAGTTTGTCTTCCCTTTGTAATTTCCACTACATAATTTTCCGACCATATAAAAATACCGAAAATCATCTAACGCTAAATAGCTCGAGCTTTTCTCTATAAGGAGAAAACATATATCAGCAGTTCAAGATGCTGAATGCAACTTTCGATATCTTAAGCTGTTATCTATATACAGAAAGACATCTCTTGATAGGTCAAGATGTTCTCAATACACATATATGTATATCTATTGCTAAATCAAATCATCTATTCTAGCTCAAGATGTCACCTATTTATATGGATAAATCATTATATGTTCTCTATAAGGAGAAAGCATCTATCGCTAGATCAAAATGATCTCTGTACAAAGAAAGCGAGAAAATGTATATATATATATATATATTTTGTTGAAATTGTAGTATTATCAAACCTATAGAGAAGAAATCTGTAAAAATGTTACTCACTATTCTATTATATTTAATATATTTTAAAATTCATTATAAAAAAATGAAAATTTAAATATTTTACAAAACCAGTTAAATTTTATAACATAACTTTAGACATTTTCCAAAGTGTTTAAAATTTTTATGCACATGTAAAGTAAAAGCATACACATGCAACCTTCTAACTCGTAAATTCTACTCAAATCAGATTTAATTGCATTTTAATATAGAATTTTTTTAAAAAAATGCTAATAGAATTTTATAGTTTTACCTTGATGCTGTGTGCCACAACTTGGTTATAAAATTACATTTAAATTTATAATAATAATATTATTATTATTATTTGCATGGTAAAAATATTTTTATATTGCCAACATACATGCATATTTATTTAATATATTGTGGTTTACTAACATTAAAACTATAATCATCACTATATACTAAGAAAAATATTATTACTATGACTTCTATGACAAGAATATCCTATCTCCCTCGTACTCACATATTCACATACCAACATACATAAAATAAAAAGGAAGTTAAAAAGAAAGGAAATCAGCAATAAACACTTTCACACTTTTAATAACATATTTCCTGTTTTTATAGTTGGTCTTCTTACGATTTTCCTGCCATTTAACTTGAAAAGCTTAAAGCAAAGCCATCATCATTTTTGCATGCATATGTAAGTATTCGTAAATTTTTATGGCTTTTTGGCTTATTTCTGTTTAAGATTCTTGTCTGTTGTATGTTCACAGTACAAAAATGTATTTGGCTGGTATGCGAGCTTGAATGTTGGCAAAATAACTGTATCAGAGGTTTTTATGACGCCGTTAATAGTTTATATTGTACTGTAGCAAAAACACACATATGGAAATAATAACCTTAAGATATTAAACTTGCATTTATTCTATTTATTTGCCCTTTTAGGATTTTATCTTGCGTAAGTATTATCATATCCATGCTAATATCATTTGAGGTGTATGTAGGATTAGTGGTACCGGAAATTAAATACAAACATAATGAAAGTTATAGGAAGTTTTACTATTAACCTTCATGTGATTTCATTAAAAAAAATTGGCTTAATATATAAAAATAAAATTGTAACACTAGCTCAAGGTGTTCTCTATATAGAGATAACATATATCGCTGGCTCAATATGATCTCTATAGCCAGCTCAATATATTTTCTATACAGAAAAGGCACATATCGGTAGGTCTAAGTGTACAGAGGAAGCACCTATTGCAAGCTCAATATATTCTACTTCGAAAGAAAGCATCGATACGTAGCTCAAGATGTTCTTCATAGAGTTCAAGATGTCCTGCATACAAAGAAAGCATCCATCGATAGCTCCAGTTGTTGTCTATACAGAGTAATTTATCGGTAGCTCATGATGCTCTCTATAGCTTACTCAAGTACCTATGAACAACTATATCGACAAAAATTGACAAAACTTAGTTTTATATAAGTCCTAATAATTCTAGCGATTTTTGTAAAGATCGAGCATTATTTGACCCTACAGAGTCCCCCCTGATCATACAGAGTCCCCTTCAGAAAATTATTTGAACTTCCACAATTTACTTATAAACACTAGTATCACGATGAGATTTGGCATCGATTTGGGCCTTTTATCTCTTAACTACGTCTAATAGATATATCTATCTAAAAATTGGCACAATGTGCTAATGTCTGTAACACTCAAAAATATTTGTCCTTAAGTATACCAGTCGGTTCAGGCTCACTTTCTCATTCGATAAAGCTATGTCCGTCTTTGTCACCATGCAAACCTTGTGTGCACGTTACAGCTAGCAACTTCCAATATCAGTTGTCAAAATTTGTCATATACTCTTCTTTGGATCCAATGACGAAGGCTTTTGAATATTATTGAAATAGGATCTTTTATTTCTCCTAGTCACAATACAACCGTACAAGAACAGGCATTATTTGGAACCTATGTAAGATTCAACATACAGGTTTTATTATTGAAAATTAATCACATTCAATAATTGGTGTAGATTATCATATAGTCGGCCACGCCCGACTATAGTTTACAGATATTTTTATAAATTTTTTAAAATCTTAATATTTTGTCTTATGTTGATTTTTAGTCCGAAACATATATGGTCACAAAAAAACCAACTAATTCTAAGAAAAATACCGACAAATAAGTATTCCTAATAAAACAATGCTATTCACTTTTCATTTAATTAACAATGTGTACATATGTATATACAATTTATCTTCATGTTAATTAAATTAATTAACTAAAACTCTTGTTAAGTATGAAAAGTTTCTTCTTTTAATTTCATGTAATATATATTAAGATAATATTATGCCAACAAAAAAATATTCATGTTCCAAAGCATGTTATTTTTAATTATGTTTCTTTGGTTTTCAGTTTCATTTGGCTTTTGTTTTTTTTTTTTTTTTTTTTTTTTTTTTGCCATCAATATGCCAAAATGTTATAACGTTTTTGTTTTTACCACAACTAATTAACAGTTTTTGGTTTTGTTATTTCTCTGTTGTGCAAGATTTTTATTATCTTCAAAATATTTGAGTTTTCTCTTCTATGATTCTCTACACTAATGATCATCATTGGAAAACTTAAGCAATTTCATGTTTATTAAGTTCAATGCAGTTTTGTTGGCTATTTATCCCTTTGCTTTTTTTTTGCCACTTCATTGGTTTTTTCCAACTTAGATTTAGACTACATACATATATGTAGAAATACATAGCTATATACTTATATAAGATAATCCCTTGGAGTGAAGTTAACACGCAATTTGGAAACCATGCAAGTGTTAGTCTAATGCTAAAAAGTTATATGTAGTTTGTGTATAAAATAGAAACAAAAAAACTTTAAAACACGCCAGTAATATGTGAGCAATCCAAAGGGGAACTTGTTGTTCTATTCACTTCTATTATCTTTTAATCGAAGTGATAATTACATTACTATTATTATTTTTATCATTCAGCAGCAAACAAAAACTTAACAACGAAATTCAATTTTCATTTTATGGTTTAGTACATACCTTAGCAATTGTTTTTTCTGTCAGTATGATGTTTTCATATCATGCATGCATTTGGAAGATTATAGTTTTTTTGCTTGTTAAGTGTTTTGAACTGTAATTAAAAAATAAACAAGTTATTTTAATTAAAATTTGTATCGATTTAAGATTTAATTATAAAGTTATGATCGATATTGAAAAGTAATAAAAGTTAATCTTTAGTAAGTAGTTGTTATGTTATGAATATTGCTTAAAGCACGTACAAATGTAGACAAATTAATGGGATTAAAAATAATAGAATTAAATAAATAGTTTGTTTAAAATCTTTAATATTTTATTAAAATCCTACAATATGTCTTATCTCTTCATCATATTTTGTAATAACAATCACACTTATTATACCCTACACCACTATAGTGGGAAGGGTCTGTGCGTCTGTGCTGATGTTTGTAACGCACTATAATATTAGTACTATACCCACTATAAAGTATACTGATTGACTCAGAATCACTTTCTCAGTCGATATATCGATGTCCGTCCGTGTGTCCATGTAAACGTTATCAAAGTACAGGTCGCACCACCACCTGGATAATAATCTTGCCGCGATATGGTGGCTTAGTGCTGGCTGCAGTAAACTCTGCTGAGCTTTCCCGCATGACAGCGAACTTAAAAGCCTACATGACCAAAGGTTATCCTCCCCATCCCCAATCCATATTCCCTGTTTTAATCCCTTCATTTTCCCACTATCCCATTCCCCACTTGTAAGATTAAGGTGGTTGGTAGCAGTGCCGAGAACCTGAATGGCTAATTAGTGGTAAAAGAAGATTAGTCGCTATGACACGGGCCGGTTGTAATGCCTAGTCTAGTCCATGCACGTCGTCACTGCATGGATCGTCCTTCCCTTTACGTGCACACTCGTGGGACTAAAATATGGAACATTCAGAAAAACAACAATTACAACAACGTAAGAAGGATGATATAGATTCATCATCCGAAGATGGTCTTCTGGCCTCTAGCCAAGAGACCGTGGTCAGTAAAACAGCTAGTGTGAGCGACTGTCTCAGCACTCCACTACTCTCAAAACCCTTGACAAAAACACCTTCCCAATCTGAAGCCAAATCTGGCGAACAATTATGTAAAAAGCGAGCAAGAAGAAAGAGTCAACAAGACATCTTTCTAGACGAGATTGCAAAATGCTGCAAATGACACTCCACATGAAAGCAATGAGGAAGATCGCGTCAATTACGAAGCTGTGGTAGACGAGTACCAGAAGTTTATGGAAACCGGAAACTTTCAAAGCAGCTGCAGATGAAAGGTCCAAGCGGAATCGATCTCAGGCAGAGACAGGAGAACCGTCCAAGAGGAGGAAGGTTGCAGATAACAAAACCACTCCAGGGCCTGCAGCATCCGCAATCATATCAGCCAGGAGACCATTCAACGAAGTGGTGAAGAATCACCTCCTGATAATCCTCCATAAATCCTGTAGTAACAGAATGGGGTGCCGTGGAATCTAAACTGACTGAGTTGGTTATGGAACACCTCCTAGCCAGTGAAGGCACCTCGTTTTGACTCCGGCGAGATACATCGGGGATACAGGGTGATCAAATGTATGGACACGTTCTCAAAGGACTTCCAAATACATCATTAAGATAAGTGACGTATGGGAAGGCTTAAGTCTTGAGCTTATTCCCGCTGAACCCATCTAGTTATCAAAAATTACCACTGAAACACACAAAATGTTGGAATGCCTGAATCCCAACATCCACATGGACGACTGGTCCATCATTTGCGCCAAACAATGCGACAACCACACCTTATCCCCGCTATCACAGAGTCGGGCTCTGCTGAGCTCGAGAGAGCAGGGGTCAGAGACGCTAAAGTGAAGTTGTTCCGTCCCACAAAAATCGCTGGAAAGACTCATCGCCTCACATATTAGGCAACGACTAGAGAGCTCATTACGGCTTTCAACTAGTCAACATGCCTACCTTAAACGACGATCTACAGAGACAACTCTACATGAGGTTGTCAGAGTTATAGAAAGATCCCTCGAATTTAAACAATATACTATGAGAGCCTTCTTAGACGTAGAAGATGCTTTCAATAACGTAAATAATTCTGAAATTCAACAAACTTTTGCTAATCTAGATGTTGAAGAGTAGGTATATCTGCAACTGGTTAGTAACTATGTTGAAACCTAGAATAGTTACTGCGAGTCTTGGTAACAGCGTTAAGTCGTAATCGCGTAATCTTCCCACTGCTTTGGCTCATCGTTGTTAACTCGATTCTAATTGAACTGGACAACAGAGGGATTAAAGTCGTTGCTTATGGGGACGATGTTGTGATACTTGTATCAGGAATGTTTCCAGACGTCATTAGCGATATTTTGTCTGATGCTTTGGTGCTACTCCGTAAGTGGGCCACAGAAAGTGGTCTAGGATTTAATCCAAGAAAAACAGAACTGGTACTATTCACAACAATGACCAAGATTCTTCTGCATTGATATATATTTTTTTATAAATTACTGTGAAATATTTCTGATAAATTTCAAGATTTCCTCTTTTAGATCTCGTTAACGCATTTTGTTACATTTTATTAAATTTGTAATTAAGTTCATATTAAACAGATTTATTTCAAAAAAATTTCATTTCTGACCCACCAAACTCTTCTATACAAACTAATATGTGTTACGGGTAGTATGAGTAATATTTATTTTGTATTTATTTTATCACAAGTATACGTAAATATATTTTTTTTTTTTTTTGGATTTTTATTAATTTGTTATCAGGAGAGAACATTTTCGTAATATTTAACATATCTTCTCTTGGTTTTATCTTTTTTGTTACTTTTTTGCAATTACTGTATTTATAAAAAGTTTCAAGATCGGACGTACATTTTGTTACACTTTTCAAAAATTGTGATTAGGTTCATGTCATATTTTACAAAGCTTGCCTCTAGTAAATTAGTAGTTTTTTTTTCAATCCTACTAGACCGGAGGTCGTGGGCTCGTTTCCAGAGGTACTGTCAAAGGATCGCTAACAGGCCCGGTGGGGATATATTATACAAACTTTAAAAAAATGCAAAAAATTTTAAATTGTCCCGAATTTTTAAATAAATGTATGAAATTGTGTATTCAATATATAACAAATGGAATAACAAAATCAATAGAACCCTCAACTATAAAACGATGATTATAAAAACGACAAAAATAACAATTTGTATTTGCAGCTTAATCTCTTAGTCGTAAAATCTGTGACTCTCACATAACGGCACTCTGTTGTATTGACCCCAATAAAAGCAATCCAATTTGCTATTTCTAATTACAAAATTGCTTTCAATCATACATTATCACGTTGACTTCTTAGCCATTCATTCTCAATTTAACTAACACTGCGTTTAACTATTTAATTTCTATAGATTTTTTTTTCTCCGTTGTTTATCAATTGAATAAATTAAATATTGAAGACGTGTGTGGACATAATTTTTTTATTTGTTTGTCTATATAATATATAACTGGAATAAAGAATGGTTATCTATCGAATACTATATACATATAATTATATAAATAAAAGTGTGTGTTTGATCAAATCCCGTTTATTTGTTTGGTTGTTAGACTTACCAATGGCTACTTTTACTTTGTGGTCATTTTCAAATAAATATTCTACGTGAATGTGTTGAGTCCTTGTCTTTGTTTTGTTAGATATTTTTCCATTTCAGTTGACATGGGTGTTTAAGCAGACAAATAAAAAAATCGTACATATATTTATACGAAAAACCAACATGTATGCCATTGTTTGTGTATTTACTCTACAACAACAATAGTACACTAGTTACTTTTTTCAGCTTTTAACTTGGTCGGTTTACTGTTGTATAAATGTATGTATATGCATGTATGTAGGTATTGTGTTTACGTTTTAAGCCAAGATAAAAATCATAAGCAAACCATTAGATTGTTTTCTCTTCGATTGACGTGACATGTTAATGAATGGTTTCTCACATAAAATACACATACCAGGAAATCTATGTGTACATGCACATGAATACAAAGGCAAAATATTACACTCACAACCATACAAATGTAGTAAATACACGTATTGTGAGCCTTTTGTAATTTTATTTTTTTTATACATTCTATTATAACGATCGGATTTGTATGATTATACACTGAGTGTAAATTGAACAAGATCTACTGATACTATGTTTGCTAATAAACGAATTTGATGTTGAAGATTAATCTTCACTGACGTAGAGCAGAGCTTTGGAAAACTGGATTATGATAAATTATGTACAATATAATAGTGATGCATTACCATAGTTATAACAAATACAAAATTTTTCTCAGCGTATATTTTTATGTAAGTATTTAAGTATGTATGTTTTGTTTGTTTTTTTTTTTTTTTTTTTGTAATTTAATGGTAGTCTTATTGTAATGGTTGAACAAGTTCTTCCTCCTTTTCTTTAATTCATGTTATTCTCTTGTTTTTTTTATATATATAGTTTCTTTTTACTTAGTTTTTATTTAAGTTTTTTTCTTCTCTTTTTTTTGTACTTTTCCTTTACTTAGGTAATTTTGTCAAGCAAATGTATAATTTTCTATAGTCCTGCTCATTCATATCATTGTTCGTATTGTTGCTGTTTGTTATTGAGTTTAGTTATTTTTCTTCTTGTAAGGTCTTAAGGATAAGTGAGGTCCGAATCTGATTTAACAACAAAAAGCATTTTGTAACAATTATTTGTGGGTAGAAATAAATGGAAAAACGTGTCAGACTGAGTATGGGGAAAATTATACGTAACTTTGTATGCAAGAATACAATTTTGTTATGTGAAGGATAGTACGTAAACACCCATTGACAGTTTTTAATAAAACTGCTTAGAAATGATTCTTTAATTTAAGATTTATATGTTATATTTAACATTATCAATAAGGGGATTTGAAGTTTAATTTAAATTTTAATATACACATACTTGCATATATAAATTTTTCATTTTTATTGTTATCTCATAACCAAAAATATGACAAACATTTATCAAACTAATATCACGATACAATTCGACATAAGTTACTTCCATAATTATACGCAATTTTTGCCCTCCGTATAAATGTTTTTCTGAAAATCT